CCGTTTTTCCACAATTGCCAGTGACCTTTTATTTATGACGGACCGCCAATTAAACTAAAGTCGATTACAGTTAAGAACGACAGGTGTCGGACAGACCCAGACATTAAACCGGGTCACAGCCGGTTAGAGCCTCGCGCCTGGTTCGAGCCGTGGGCGTTTGGCAGCCGCTAAGTCGCTGGGCCGTTAGCTTCGCATGTGGCGCATTCAATTATAATTTGTGTATGGTTACCTAATGGATTTGTCAATGCATTGCCAAAAGCATCACGCGGAGCTGTGTGTGAGAACTATGGTCTCTGCTGCTCCCCACTAATACTTTAATCATTTCACAGAGTTATCAAAAGCTCGGTTCAGAACTAGTTCCAAATATATGCACATATTTCAAAACTGTTGTTTTTTAAGGGCAGTGTTGGTTATGAAGCTGTGTAATTGAACCAGCACTTCGAACCCCAGGCTAGACTGTAAAGTTGTATTTTTTAGTGCAATAATATTATCTTTAAATAATGGTATATTTCTTCATCTTGCATGATATTTTGCCAAACTAATTTTTTAGGGAAACATCCCTATGGATAAGCAATAAAAACTTAAGTGTTGGCAACTGCTTAAATAAAATTTCGTTTACATCAGCCAACACTTAAAATTGAATGTAAAGCGGATTACAATTTTTTTCCCTTGCTAGAACAAATGTTTGTATATGGATGAGGAGCAGCAGCAGTATTTAAAGCTTTAATTAAGCTGTACATGAAAGCAATTAAGAGTTTTATTAAGTCTTGAGAGAGCCGTTCTTATGAGGTGGAAAGACCACACGCATGTACACACACACACATCCAAGCAAACAGATTAAGGATTTTGAGGCGAATCAAGGATTGAATGAACGGGTGTGGGGGGTTCTTGTACTCACCTCGTGTGCTTTGGGATGTTGATGCTGACAGTTGTGCGCATTGACTAACAGCCAGCAGCAGCAGCAATACGCAAGAATGGTCAAATGAAGCAGCTTCGACCGTGGCATGGCGTTCGCAATGTGTGGGCGGGACGGGTTGGGCGTGTTGAAGCGTATATGTGGGAATTAATACCCTGAGCTATCTCCGAGCTAATTATAGAACTGGGTGCTAGAACCTCTCACTCAATACCTGGTATGCATGGTGAGGATTGAAAACCTGCACACACACACAAGGAGCATGCATAAATATACTTATATATGTGTGTGTGTGTGTACATGCATAAAGATTTAAGCATTTGTTTACAGCGTTTCTCAATTGTTGTTTTTGTTGCATGCTTTATTAGCCGTTATTTGCTCATGCGCTTTATGCTTCTTTCTCTGTATTATTTTGTTTGTTGGTTTTTGCTTATTTCTTTTTTTTTTTGTCAATTAACTCGCGCACCGAAACCGGCTGGGCAGCCCATGCTCCTGTCCCTGCCTCGCCCGCGCACACACATTCAACACACACACACACACATACACTCGCGCCTAGTTACACAGCAAATTGGAATTGGGGCTTTGGTTTTGTACTTGGGTGGGTGCGTCCGCGTCCGCGAATTAGGTCCACAAGCTGCCGAAACGCCAACTCGCCGCTGCAATGCCACAATTTCTGCCTGCAGTCGCTTTTGTTGTTGTTACAGCAACATCGCGTAAATGTCAAATTCTCATGAACTGCTTTCAAAGACGCTGCGTTTGATAAAGCATTTGTTGATGAATTAATAAAGTAAACTACTTAAATTATAACGTTACACTTATTTAAACATTTTCATTCAACATAATAATCAAACACAAAAACAATAAACACGGGGGTAATCAAAGCAGCGACAGTCTCGCGATTCTAGCGTCCAGCTTGGTCGACGCTCTCTTCCGTATTGAATGAATGTGCGTCAAACTAGCGGCGGTGACTTAGCGTCGAATTTTGGTACTTGTTATCGGAAAAGTATCGGTCACTTTTAAATGCGATTATTTGGTTTTAAGCACGAAACCAAATAAATTAAATTGCAGAAATGCAACAATTAAATTATTTACTGCCTACATTCATTTGTTTTTGAATTTTAATTTATAATAAAGGTAAACCAAGGTGTTGAGATATTAGGTTTCCAGCATTCTTTAAATATCTCAATTTAGGTATAATGCCCCCGAAAACCGCAAATACACGATTGAAGTCTATAGTTTTACCTAACCAATCTTGAAAAAATTAATTAAATCGCTCAGCATGTTTTTAAGACATTTTTACAACAGTGCAGCAACCACGTTGCCAGTCGTAAAATATTACCCTTGCACTCGAACCTTAATATCTTTTCTCAAGGATAATGGCCCTCAATGCACGGTATACCAACTTGAAGATACATGTTTAAGGAAGCTTTGCGCATTAATTCTAAGCAAATCGAGCAACCAGTTTTTGAAAAAATGACAATATGTAAACACACCTCTTGTTCATTCAAAAGGTCTATCGAGCTACTAGCTCCAACGGTACCGAACCACTGCTCGAAATTAGTGTTGAACAATGATTTACAGTATTGAGCGGGAACAAATTAATTCAAAATAAGAATTGTATATGAAAATGAACTGCAGTAATATATGAAATAATTGTCATTTTACAATAAAGCAATATCTGCGTAAAAAGGCGTAAAGCTTCCTTAAACATGTATCTTCAAGTTGGTATACTGTGCGTTGAGGGCCATTATCCCTGAGTAAAGATATTAAGGTTCAAGTGCAAGGGTAACTTCTTACGGTCATTTTGTATGGGGGGGCTAGCAACGTGGTTGCTGCACTGTTGTACAAATATCTTTAAAACGTGCTGATCGATTTTAATAATTCTTTCAAGATTGGTTAGGTAAAACTGTAGACTTCAATCGTGTATTTGCGGTTTTCGGGGGCATTATCCCTAAATTAAGACATTTAAAGAATGGTGGGAACCTAATATTTCAACCCCATGGTTTACCCATATTATAAATTAAAATTCAAAAACAAATGATTGTAGGCAGTAAATAATTTAATTTTTTACAATTCTGCATTTAAATTTATTTGGTTTCATGCTTAAAAACATAAATAATTGCATTTAAAAGTGACCGATACTTTTCCGATAACAGTAACAAAATTCGATACTAATTCATCGCCGCTAATTTGACGCACATTTTGGTGTACGATATTCAACAATCGTGCCGCCGCTGCGTTATCGGCAACTCTTTATTGCTTATATTTAGAAAAATACGCAAGCAAGTAAAGCTTCGGCATTGGAAATGGAAACGTGATATAAACTAAGATAAATAGAAACTACTCCCGAGTCATTCGGACATTCTTTGTGTGGAAGAACTAACATGAAGAATTACCGCTTTGGATTACATGTTAAAAGCTAGTTTCGATAGTTGTTCGATTCCCAAAAATAAATTCAACGGGCAGAAGTAGCATGCTGTCTGTGCACGTACAAAATGTTCAACAAATTAGAATTTAACAATTTGGTAAGTAAACAAAATTTGATTAAGCGCAATAATAACGAAAGTTTGGCCAACAGGTAATTACCAACAAGAAGCAAATACAACAAGCGCGTGCCCAAACCATTGCAAGGGTCGTGAATAAATTGCGCAAATTGAAGGATGAACTGAAGAGAAAACCGGAAAGTGAAAAACATCAGGAACGCTTGCGCAAAAGCGTCGAGTGTATTTCAGAGCTTAAGTCGCTCAAATGCATGGACATAATGCGTACACTGTTGCTGCAAAATGGGAAAAATCACAAGGCTGTGCTGACCAATGGTCGGGCAACGCCGGATGAAGTAGCTATTGCCATGTTGGGGCTAAACAAAATCATGCAAATGCTGGTGGCAGCATTTCAACTAGCCTTGGATCTTGGCAATAAAGCCAATGACGACTGGCGCACTGCAATATTGGAGACAAGCAAGCGTCGCCTCAAATTGGAACGAACCGAGGAAAAGCGGCGTAAACGTAAAGAGCTCAAGGAACAGAAGGCGCAGACACGCAATCGTATGATCTGGTTGCAACAAAATCAACCACCTGGCGAAGACAAATGCGAGCAAAGTGTCATAAATACAGCAGCTGGCGAATGCCTGATAGAATGTCCGTTAACTCCGATTCTTAAAGGGAATGGGAACAACAAGGAAATTCAAGATAACTCAATGCTCATATCTTTACCAGATTTAGTGGAGAAAACTAAACATAAAATCCCCAAATGCAATGAGAATCAACAGAAAGTACACGAAGAGTCAAAGAAACGAATAGCTGGGCAACCTGAAATCGAAGATGGAAATAGGATAGCAGAAAATTCGCCGCAGCTGAAGGAAGTGGTTGTTAATCCCAAACGAAAGAAAATCAAGAAATTGGAAAATAAACCGAAGCAGGAGAAAACAAATAGCAAGCCAACAGGACAAAAAGCAAATGCAGTAGTAGAAAATAAAACACAGCGTGAGAAAGCTGGCGCCATTCCCAATCGTAAAGAAAGAAAGGAAGTAGAACCTAAACCGATGTCCGAGAAAGCGGAGGTCAATCGCAAACGCCAGACGGCCAAGGAACCAGAAAAAGAACGACCCACCCATGTCGTCGATCCCTTTTTCATTACAGAATCGGGACAACCATATCTATCAACTGCAGTTGTTTTATCCGGTGATAGTCATAATGAATCGGATGATAATCAACATGTGGAGCAAAGAAAACGCAAGCCTCTGGCCAAAAAGCAGGAATATAACAGTTCACGTTCCAATGAACGCCACAACCATGAACGTTCCAATGAACGCCACAACTATGAACGCTCCAATGAACGGCATAACAATGAACGTTCTAATGAACGCCATCCATCGTGGATGGCCAAGCAGCAGCAAAAGCCAATTATAGCCAACTATAAGGGCAGGAAAACCAAGTTTAATGACGATGACAGTGTTGCAGAAATATCAACTGCTCCAGTTGCGGCTCCATCTGCCACCGATGCGGGTGTAACCGGCATGCATCCATCTTGGTTAGCCAAGCAGAAGCTGAAGCCAAAAATTGCCAAATTCGCAGGCAAAAAAATCAAGTTCGATGATTGATCACGTTTGGGTTATGTTTATTTTAATATATGCAAAACATTTCTTAAGCATCCACCTTGGGCACAAAATGTCCACGCGCCTTATCGCTCCTGCGCAGTTTCTCAATGTCCACGTCGGAGTATTTACGTTTTAACAACTCCAAGTCAAAGTTGGGATTGCGTCTTAGTATCATCATGACCTCATTGCGTGAGCGACTGAAATAAATGTTTATAGAAAAATTAATTCTCGTTCGATTTTATAAATTTCTATTCTTACTTTTTGGCTTTGCGTTTGGCATTATAAAGCTTCTCGCGATACTGCAGCAGGAATTTGTGAACAGCGCGTCCGCCGTAGCCCAAATGACGCGATTTAATCCATTTGGTGTTCATGAAGGGCGGCAGCGCATGTTCGCACGATTTGTATGTGCAGCGCAAACCGAAGGCGTTGTGCACCGCCCTTTGTGGACGTTCACCTGTCTCGCCAGTCTCCAGCAGATGATACGCCTTGTTGCGCTCGCGTACAACTGTCTCTAGATTGTCCATAGAGATTTTCACCTTATCAATGCGTTCAGGATTGGGAAAGATTTCCATTTTATCATTGCATTCGTGCTCCATAGTAAGCAGCATGTTGCGCTCCTTGAGTAAAATGTACCACAGCTGATGCAGCTCCTTATTGGACTTGATGCGCAGCTCGTCTGTTTTCCAGGCGCGTCCCACTTTCACTTCGTTCTCGCTCCAATGCTTAGGATCGTCAAAAAACTCTAATAGGCGTTCCTGTCGCACGGGGCTCGTTGTGTGCATTCCGCATTTGAGTAAACCGCCATTTGCTGCAGGGCTTTGTTACATAAAAATATATAAAATTCAAAACAGTCGAATTACGCGGGTTGACTTTGTTATAATCTATCAACTAACCTCCATGCTGTTAATTGCTTCTGTGGTGTAGTTAACAAACTTTTAAACGTTACTGTGCCCACAGTTTTGGCCAAATTTAAACATTTTATTAATGTTGAAGACATGCTTTCCAATCAGAGACAGTCCCAGCTGTCCGCCGCTTAGAGATGTGTAACAATATAACGATGAGAGCTGTTTTATTAAAATCATATAATCGATAGTATTGCAATGGTGGAGTCCTTACCGATGTGTTGTACGTTTCAAGTAAAACATCAGTTGATCGCTAGAAAAGTGATTTTCGGTAAATTTATTAGAGCTAAATTGTGGTTATCAACATGAAAACACTTTTGGGTACTTTAAATTCAGTTATGTACTAAAATTGGAATAAGTTTAACAACACTGCGTATTGTTCAACACTCGTTCGCTAACAATCGATATTGACACATCACTACTCAGATAGAAGTACGACGCGTTCTGCTATGTAGTGTATGTTAATTGTGCGCGTTGGTGAAAAATTTACATTCTGTATAAAAGTAATTTGATTTTCTAATGATATATATTTAAAAACGAATGTGCATATGTACTAGCATCACTTAATAATAAATTGTAAGTTCAAATTGCTTTCAAAAGTATGATTATTATTGTATGAAAATTTGCTTCACTTATGCCGTTCCCATCAAAATACATATGTACATACGTCTATATATATATATATATACATATTTATATATACTTGGTATGCAGGAACACTACAGCGTTCAACTGCTGGGATATTTGTGTGTGTGCGAGCATTGCATGCATGATTCGTCGTGTATTTGTTATATTAAGTACACAATTTAAATTGATAAAAATTCTAAAGAACCACTAAATCTGGATTGCGCCACCAAGCGTATGGCGAAACTTAAAGTGAATTTTTAAGTAACTCGTTAGCCTGAGTTGATTAGTTTCCAGTGCACTGGAATTTAGCTGTACAAAAAAAAAAAAATCATCTCATTCATTGACAAAACAAAACGTTAAGAGTGGGTGAGAGCAGGTTATGTAGTAATCCCTCGACAGTGTTGTCGTGCTGCTGTCGTGTTTACGCTACAAATGGTAGCAATTGCGCTTGTTATCAGAATTGTCCATTAATATTGAACATAAAATTATTTTACCTGTAAATGCTGCGAGATTCGTATTACGCTTGGTAAAGCTGTTCAAAGACTATTGTTGTCAAGTACCTACTACTATCGTACGATTGCATAGTTATTTATATGTATTTTAAGTATTTATGTGGGCATTTCGGACATATATTTGAACATATAACTGTAAGCACGCCTTTAGTATTTACTACCAATTGATATTATTATTATTTTTTATTGATTTTACGCATTTCAAGACGTCAAAGACCGTACAATTGTTATGTAAAATGAACAATTTGCGCTACTGGAGCCAATTCAATTGTAAGGTCAATAAAATAGTGTACAGAAAGTGAATTGATTCATCCATTTGGCTGGGGGCGGGGGCATCTGTTGTAGAATTCAGGGCAGCGCTTTGTAAGGTTCTTTTGTTTTTGCATTTTCTTTTAGTTTTCTGTTTCGCTTTTCGTCGATAAGACACGCAGCTGCAGCGGCTTTGCGGCGGTTCACGCCCAAAACATCGCTTCTGCCACAGGGCGTATGCGTGTGTGTCAGTGACTGTGTGTGCTATGTCAGCCAAGGTTAATTTATTGGGTCTCACAACAGCCGTGCGTGTATGAGCGAATAACTGCTGTATTCTTGTTATTTGTATCATTAAGAGCACTGAAGCTCCAAAAACGTAACATACATACATACATACGTATTTGCCCGCCCGCATTTGCTGTTTACAAATCGATACAAAAGAGCAAAACTATCGATAGGCGGCAAATGACACTGACACTTGTTGCACGTACTTGAAATAGAGAGAGAGAGAGAGAGAGAAAGAGATTGAGGGAGTTTTCATCATAATGTTGTTAAATGATTTCGTTAATGTTAACATAGGCACTGCAAAGTGCATTGGGCTTCATAACAGCACATTAATATCTAGAAGTGTGTGTATGTATGTATGTATAAATGTAAATATTTAATTAGCAAATGCTACCTAAATATAGCATTGCTTGGTGATAAAAATCAAATAGGAAGCAGTATTTATTTTCATTTTTTTAAATCACATTTTGATAAAAAAAAAAGGGAATTTACTCATTTGTTTTCTATGGGTAATTCAATTGTTTTTTATAGGGGGTGTTTGCATTAATTTGCTAATCTTATCAGGAACACATGCACATACATTCAAATATGTATCCGTCTAAAGCAATCGGGGCGTTTCAATTCACGACAAATTATCAATTGCATGTCGAGTCTTTTGACCTTATGCGCGTATTTATAATTCTTATCATGGATTTAATTGTTAAGTATACTTATGTATACGTTTTTTTTTCTGTGCCAGGTAATAGTGAAAACAATTTTCATTGTTAGCCTCATTACCACAGATTACAATTGCTATGTACATATGTATTTTCTATTAAAAAAAGTGCAAGTAAACATTAACAGAAGCGGCTCAATTAACAGTATGTAAATGAAGATGCTTGGTAACATAAATGTTACTGATAAGGAGCAGGAACAGCACATAAATGCTATCGATAGCAATTGCAAAAAAACAACAATAACAACAAGTGCAGCAGTAGCTGCAGTATCCGCAGCAAAGAGACAGACCACTTGAATTAATTATACAATTAAATAAGCAAATTCCCAAGTACAAATTAAAGCCGGCTACAAATGAAAAATTGTAATAAGCTGGCTAATTATGAGATGTTCATATTGTGCTTTTTCTCTCTCCCTCTTTCTATCTCGCACTCTGCTTGCGCACAGTTCAATGTCGCAAGAAACAGCAGCTAACGTCAATCTGGCAACGCCGCCATCAGAAAGTGCCGACAATTGTCGCAAGCGCACCTTGTCACGATCGGAGCCCAAATCCATAATCGAGATACACATATCCAATGAGATTAACAGCAGCGCTAACAGCTGTAAACGCCCCAATTTGGAAACAGGGCCACAAACAGACATGGAACAGCAGCAAGAACAGCAAAACAATGTTATCGAACTGAGCATTGATGAGCAGCAACGCGATACCGATAATCGCACCAGTTGCCAAATCTTTTTGCAGCATTTGCCTTGCTTTAAGCTGCAGCAATTGACCACATTGACGCCCATACCCAAATGCCGGGAATGTCGGCGTCGTCATGCACCGTCCTCAGCAGCAGCAGCAGCAGGCGGTGCCAATAGCAGCAGCAGCAGCAACAGCAACAACAATGATATCTACTGTCGCTTCTATGAGTTTCGACGCCTGCAATATAATGCCGCTGGCGAGTTGAGCGTTGCTGGCTTCCCCAATCCCTACCAGGAGCCGACTAGCGTTGACTACGCAATTTGGCAGCCAGATGCAAAAACCATGCCCACCGCTGGCTTTATGGATATACAAGTGTGCCGTTACATTTTGTTGCATGCAGGCGATCAGTTTTGTTATTTGTGGCGCCAGGAGGCCGAGGCGTTGAAGCTGCACGAGAATCCAGACGGAACGATTGCATGGAAGAAAGCCGTACAGGGCATACGTGAAATCTGCGATGTCTGCGATACGACGCTCTTTAACTATCACTGGACATGCCGCAAGTGTGGTTTCGGTGTGTGCATCGATTGCTTCAAGGATCGCAAGGAGGGACTGCAAAAGAAACGGCGGCTGGAAACACAACGCGGTCATGATGAATACCACTGGCTGCTCTGCACCGATGACGAGCAACAACAGCACACGCTGCCGGAGCTGATGTTGACCCAGATAATAGCAGGTGATGCACTCAACGTGCTCGGCCGGCTGTTGCACGAGGTGCGCACATTGTGGCAGGTGCCGCAGGTGTGTGGCTGTTTACTGAGCAAGCAACAGGTCAAGGACGAGCAGCTGACACAGCTCATTCAGGACATGATCAAGGAGTCACAGCTAAAGCAACAAACCAGCGCCTCCTCGCTGGCCACCGCCCAAAAGGTGCAGCAGCAGCAGCGTCTGGAGCAGCTGCATGCCAAAAAGCTAGAATTCGCGCGTCAAAATGGCATCGACTATGTCCCAGGTCGTGTCTGGACAAAGGAGACACTTGGAAAGGATCCTATTACAACCGCTTTCGATAATTTTAAGCACATCAACTTTTTACGCAAAGGCCTTGCGGGTCTGCGGCGCTTCTTGCCGCCACGCGCCATGACACTGGCTCATTCCACGCAACTGGCGCCGGGCGTGCCGCACGAATGGCTCTGCGATGGCAAATTGCTGCGTCTCACCGATCCCATGCATCCCGATAACCGTGTACTGTACCAGGAGGTATGGAAATGTGGACAGCCCGTTATGATATCTGAGGTGGCGCGTTCGCTTAATCTGGAGCTGTGGCATCCGCAGGCTTTTTGCCGTGATTTTGGCGACAAGCCGAATGATTTGATTAACTGCCTCAATGGCAACTTGGTACCCAACCAGCCGATGCGTCACTTCTGGGAGGGTTTCCAATGCATGCACAAGCGTCTGCTGGACATGAATGGCAAGCCGATGCTGTTGAAGCTTAAGGATTGGCCACCCGGTGATGATTTCGCTGAGATTCTGCCCACCCGCTTTGCGGATCTAATGCGCGGCTTGCCCATGCCAGAGTATACGCTGCGCACTGGAAATCTCAATATAGCCAGCTGTTTGCCCAAAATGTTTGTGCCGCCCGATTTGGGCCCGAAGATGTATAATGCTTACGGCTCGGCACTGCATCCGGACAAAGGCACCACCAATCTGCATCTAGATATCTCGGATGCGGTCAACATTATGGTCTACGTGGGCATACCCACGGACGAGGACAGTAAGCCACAACTGGCGGCCACACAGCGCGCCATTGCGTTGGGTGGCTGTGATTATATTACGCGTGCCCGCTGTCAGTCGCCGGATGTGTTGCCTGGTGCATTGTGGCACATCTTTCCGGCTCGTGATGCAGACAAAATACGCGATCTGCTCAATCGTGTCACCTTGGAGAAGGGCTTCAGGCTGGAGCCCGATCATGATCCCATACACGATCAGAACTGGTATCTGGATGATAAATTACGTGCGCGTCTGTTCAAGGAATACGGCGTTGAGGGCTATCCGATTGTTCAGTGCCTGGGCGATGCGGTCTTTATACCCGCAGGTGCACCGCATCAGGTGCAGAATTTGCACAACTGCATCAAGGTGGCCGAGGATTTTGTCTCGCCGGAGAATATCACGCACTGCTATCATCTCACACATGAATTCAGACGCCTCTCGCACTCGCACACCAATCACGAAGACAAACTCCAAATCAAGAATATTATCTACCATGCCATTAAGGATTGCTGCACCATATTGACGCGTGCATTGGATGAGCGCATCGATCTGGAAATGGCCAAAGCCCAGGCCGGTCTCTAGATGAAAACCTTTAACGTATTGTACCCTTGTCAAAGCTAAACAAAGCTATGCTACATATTTTAGTCTCTTTTAATTTAAGTAAAATATATGTAATACACCTGAAAAAAACTGGATATGACAGTATTTAAATAATAAAAAAAAAAAAATAAATACAATAAATATCATATATTTATTTTAAAATTATCTATATAAATAAGTTTTTAAATTTGAAACAAGGTTTTGTATATAATCAATAGGTTTTGTTTTTGCAAATGTCCTCTGAATTAATATCCTAAAATGTGACTTTAAAAAAATTGTGTTTAAGTACAAACAGGACCATAGAAATAATCTAAACTTCGATACATTCGGCAAAGAATTCGATTTAGTTTGTGAAAATTGTGCTTCTTTATTTAAGTTTCGTTTTAAGGGATATTGAAGGACTTGCATAATGAACTTTTCCGTTCTCTGCCTGTCGCCTATCTCTCACTTATTCTTGCGTGCTCTATCAATCCCTTATCAATCCCTCTATCTCTCGGATTTAACCAACAATATCTAAAAAAAAAAAATACGAAATTTCAATTCCTAATAACTTAATGCTCTTATTTATATTTGCAGTAGCTGCCAAGGAGACTACGAAAATAAGATTGTCTGCAACCAATGCGTCCGCTGCGTGTGGAAGACGAAACTGATAATGATTATGATAAGGATGATGAACAGCTCAGCCAGCATTGTACTATTGTGCTCCACTCTGTTGAGCCACTAGGACATCGGGATTGGGAATCCAAGTCAATTATATAGACACGACGACAACATCTACTACAACAACGCCAAAGGCAAAACCAACAACAAACAAGAGCAAAGCTGAGCAAAGCATTTTTTTTTTTACTTTTGTGCACCTAGAATTTTGTAAAACATAGCACTTAAGGCAAAAACTCAAAATGACGGTGGACTTTAATGATTATTTTTGGGTGAGTCTCTGCGAATGCAATTAATGTCAAAATCATTTTAAAGACGCCAACTTCTTTGTGCAGGGCGAGAAGAACAATGGATACGATGTGCTGTACCATAATATGAAGTTCGGGCTGGTGGCCAGCAAGGAGCTGTCCGAGTTTTTGCGCGAAAAGTCCAACATCGAGGAGCAAAACTCGAAAATGATGTCCAAGCTGGCCCACAAGGCCAGCACGGGCACATTGAACAGCACCTTTGCGCCGGTTTGGACCATATTGCGTACCTCGGCCGAGAAGCTATCCACGCTACACATGCAAATGGTTCAGAAGTTGACGGAGCTGGTCAAGGATGTGGCCAAATATGCCGATGAGCTGCACAAGAAACACAAGTGCGTCAAGGAGGAGGAATCTCAGACGCTCGAGTGCGTTCAGGCCATACAAACCTCAACGGTTGCTGTGCAAAAGCTTCGGGATTTATATGCTAGCAAGGTGCTTGAGCTAGAGAAGCTGCGCAAGGACAATGGCTCACACAAGGATGCCGAGAAACTGGAGAGTAAGCTCAAGAAACTGCAGGAGGACTACAAAGCACTGCTCGACAAGCACAATCCCATTAAGAACGAGTTTGAGCGACGCATGACTCAAACTTGTAAGGTAAACGAAGAGTCATTCGAGTAATTTAAAGTTTATTAAAAATAAATGTTATATTAAACAGCGCTTTCAAGAGATCGAGGAGGTGCATCTGCGTCAGATGAAGGAATTTCTATCCACGTACTTGGAAATGCTGCAGAACAATCACGATATGGTCGGACAAGTGCACTCGGACTTTAAGCGCCAGTTTGTCGATATGTCCGTTGATAAACTGCTTGAGCAATTCGTGTTAAATAAATACACGGGCCTCGAAAAGCCTGGTAAGTAGGACTTGCATGAACAAGAATCACGAAAGAACAGCGAGCCTGGAGACATGTAGCTGTAATATATTTCTAGAGCGAGCCAAAGCCGTTTTCCTAGAAGTCTGTTCTTATAGGAGCTACATGATGCTGTTGTTGACACTGTAAAAGACTGCTGTTAATAACATTGTTTTCCTTAACTAACACCAGAAGTTATTTACTTAAGCATTGACAGTCAGTGGACTTTTAGAACATATTACAGCTTATAGGCTATCTTGGGGAATCTGCATTAACATGACAATTTATTTTTCTAAACACTTGCTCAAAAAGCTAAAAACTACAATTGTTAACAGTGCTTCTAAACATAACAGCATCCACTGTTAATTGACAGTCGTTGGACTTCTTAAATCCCAAGAACAGTGTTAGTAAACAACTTAAATGTAAAATAGTTAAAATATATTTAGCTGGTCTCCGTGTGCTTCTGTTAACTAAATTCCAAGAAAGAGTCGAATTTAATAACTTTTCACCCCATCACAGAAGTGCTCGATCTGGAGTTTATACCGCTGTCGAGTGGATCACGTTTGCAGCAGCCGCAGCAGGCATCAGCAACGGCATCAAATTCCAATTCAGCTGCCAGTATACAGGCGGCTTTGCGTTCGGGCAGTGCCGCTGCAGCTGCTTCGGGCAGTCTGGTTTCGATGGACCAGCGCGGCGGCGGCGGCGGTGGTGGCGGCGACGCATTGGCTGGCATCTCGCTGGGCAGCGGCAGCGCGGCCAGCGGCAGCATACCCTATGCGGATGATGCAATACTGGGAAGTGCTGGCGGTGGTCCCTCATCACCACGGCCAACATCGCCTGAGACATTGGGCGCACAGCCGCCGCCAGTGAGCTCCGCTACTTCAACGGTTAAGAGTCTGCGCTCCTGGTTTTTACCGACGGCTAGCAAACAGCAGCAGCAGCCGGCGACTGCTAGCTCGGCCGGCTCTGGGAATTTCGGTATGCCTGGCAACAGCAACAATTCCAACAACAACAATTACAACAACACAAACATCACAACAGCAACAAGCGCCAACTCGAACACCAACAACACAACAACCGGCACGATTAATTTTACCACCAATGTCACCACCAAAAATATCCTTAACTCAGAGCTTCTGGATACTAGTTCTCAAGGTTCATTCTATTATTATTTTACTTTCTTATTTAATGTTTTTCATATTTCTATATAACGGTACAGGTTTCGTTTTTTTTATGTTTTTTGTATTGTGTATCTTTTGCATTATTATCGTAACTACTCTATCGATATCTTAAAATAACCCTTATATCTGTCTATACTAAATTGCCTAACTCATAAAAGGCCTTCTGCCACTTTCTACATTAGTTCTACCAAAAGCTGTGTTCAGTATAAAAAAGTCATTTGATTAACACAAGAGTATCAAAGCATCGGGTTTCTTGATAGTATTTATCACTAGCATGAACTGTTACAAATAATAGACTATAAAACTAATCTAAAAACATAGTCAGTCGTTCCGTTCGAACCAACTTTCTGCCTTTAGATTCGGTTCGCATCGGTTACAGCCTAGATTTGAGATCCACCCAAAAATTGTTAACTAACGAAAATGGTTAAATTCGCCCGAAATGTTTGTATTTGTATTTTAAACTCAACCAGCTTTCAGAACCCTTTTCCGTAAAACTATGTATTGCTAGCTTCAATCAGGATTCTTCCTATTACACTTGATGTTTGTCAATCGTCCCTAGGCTTATCGATAACAATGTATTTAAGCCCTATTTGTGTGCAGGAAGGTGCCTAATGCAGATAAGTGTATTATTTGTTATTTGCATTTGTGTTTTGCATTTATATATATAAACTTTTTGTATTTATATACGAAATATACACTCAAACACCAGCCAAATGTTACCCTCCCCCCCCACACACACACACACACACACAAACAGAGACACTCACAACGGATAACTGCAACTAACACAATTCTCAAAGCTTTTTTATTTCGCATTTTTGTGTAATGCTTTTTTGCACGCCATCATCCATCATTCATTTATTCAACCAACGCGTACATTTGATTCATTGTCGATTCGATCATCCATGCACGACCGATCAACTAATCAAAATTAAAAACTTTAGATCAGCAACAACAACAACAGCAGCAGCAGCAGCAGCCGAATGAGGCCCTAACACCAACTGCTAGTGCAGCTGGCAGAAAGCAAATGAATGCAACGACAAGCGAACAACATTTATCGAAATCATTAAATGAGCAAGATCATCTAAATCATCAGCAACAACAACAACAACAACAACAGACTGCAGTGGGCAACAACGGTGCCACAACAACAACAACAGCAACAGCAACAACGTCCAGACGTACAACGTCACTTTTAAATATATTCACATCAAACTCTCAGGGTAAATTATAAATGTAGAGTGCCTCAACCCAGACCAACCCAACCCAAACCAACCCATGCCCTACCCTCGCTAAGAATTATATATATTCATATGTATATACATTTAAAATTAGATAACAGTTTTCAAGGCTTTTATGCATGGCTTTTTACAATGTACAAACTATCTAATTTTCTCACAAGTCCTTAACATTTCACTAAACCATTTGTTGCACTTTAAATATGGCGGTGTTTGAGTTGAATTAAGAATCTTTAAGTATAACCGATTTGTGTGTTTCGCTGTTGTCCAACACTATGCTCCACCTAAGCACTTTCAACACTGCGCAAGTTTAGTATAAATTATTTCATCCTTTGTTTGCTCTTTAAAATGTATAATAATTATGTCATTAAAAAATAATCGATGAGGAATTTAAAGCCTTCTTTTTAGGCAAACTCCATAAAAATAATTCAATTTAAATCCCAACAAGCTGTGGAACTATAAACGATAATCGTTTATTGTTTCAATGTTTAATTTTGAATATATAATTTTGTTAATTGACATTTTCTTCCTAAGAATGCAACTTTTATAATACATTATATATGTTTTAGTGTTAAGTTACTCGTTCAAAAGCTAAACTTAGTGTGAATTTGCGTAGCTCGTGGAGCTATTTATGTATTTGTTGTACTTGTTATCCCTGAGCAGTAGATATATATATGTATATTACTCTATAATGATTGTCGCGAAGCTTGTTGTCCCTGTACAGTCAAGTAACCTTATTTCATATCTCACGTGACTAAACTTGATATTAATATTATCCCAAAATAGTTTCGGGCATTTTGCGTAGTAGACGCGACAAGGCGAAAACCAAAAAATCAAAAAAGAAGAAAGACAACGAGGCTGGCGATCACAATATACAGGAGGAGCGTTTGGCCAGGTGACATTCGACTTTTGTTTTTACATCAATTACTTGGTCTCTTATTGTGTTTATTTTTCTCTAAACAGCGCGGACCGTGGTAATAACACATTGCTCGACTATGATGATCATGGGCGCAGCATGAAGACGCAAAATTCCAGCGGCAGCAGCGCAGGCGGGGGCTTGGCTGCTTTGTCTGCGACTTCGGCACAGGGCAGCGTTGATTCGGCGGGCGCCAGCAGCATGGGCGGCAGCGGAGGCGGAGTGCCCGGTGCCGGTGGCAGCGCTCTGGCCAATGCCAGCAGCGTATCCATCGTGGGCACAGCGACCACAACTGCAGCAGCAGCGTCCGCTGCCGGCGGTCCCAATGCCAGTAGTGGTGGTTACGAGGTGGATGAGGAGGGCTTCAGCATACAGCCAGCTAAGGAAATTGCCTGGGAGGAGGGCCATGACAAGTGTAAGCCAGTTTTTCAAACTATCCAGAGAATAGTGTCACTTAATACGCAACATATTTAGCAGCCGGCAGCTTTTACACCGACTCAGACTCGGATTCGGATAACGATAAGCGACGCATTCACGTCAAGATTAAGCCGCTCAACAATGGACAGGCCCCCATGTCGGCTAGCGTGGATGAGCTGAGGGCAACTGTGGAGAATATTTCGTTATCACCCACGGGCGTATTTGCGGTACGTGAAGTTCAGAATGCAGCGCTAACAAATACCGATTGTTAAAAGAAATTTAATTTGCTAACATTTAACGAAAATTTAAACAAATTTTTAAATATATATTTTCTCTACAGCATCACAGCCAGCAGCTGCAAGGAGGGCCACGCGGCGCGGCTGCATCGCGACAACAATCGCCGGAGATATCGAATGCCTCAACGCCCACGGCCAGCGTGCATCCGTATGCGCCGCTGCAGAGTCCGACGCTGTCCAACAACAATGCCAATAATCCGAGTCACAATCGCTATGCAGATCTGGGCGATATATTCTCGGAGCTGGGCGAAATGAGCGTCTCGGCGCCAGCATCGGCAACGCTGAGCAAACCGCCAGGCCGGCAGATACCGACACCGACATCCGCTGGCGGCAGCAGCATTGCCATACCACGACCGCCATCGCGTCGCTCGGATATGATTGCCATTGGTCCGGCAGCGGCAGCCGCGGCGGCGGCGGCAGCAGCAGCAGCATCGGCATCAACAAATCTCGGCCGTGGACGCATGAGTCCAGCGCCGGCAATGAATCGAGCAGACAGCATTGGCAGTCTAGAGTTTCGCACCGCCATTGGGGGCATGGGCTCATCGCGTGGTCCGTCGCCGCTGACAATCGGCATATCGGACACAATACCGCTGGCGGTGGCATTCCATGAGATTATACACGCCTATTTCAGAGGCAGCGATGAGTCGCGCTGTCAGGTGAAGGTGTCCGGTGATATGATGCTATCATTCCCAGCCGGCATTGCCGGCCTGTTAGCCAATAACCCGAATCCAGCCAAGCTGGGCTTTCGCATTAAGCAAGTACAAAATCTAGAGAGTCTCGTGCCCAATGGCAAACTGGTGCAAATGTAAGTGAACCGAGCATTAAATACTCAAACCCTGCCCTAATATCTCTCCTTTACAGAGATCGCCAACAGTCGAGCGGATTGAGCACGCTGCTGGAGTTTAATATGCCTGCGCTAACTGCATTGTTTCGCAGGCAGGCAGAGAATAATCCGACTGCCTCGTACTTTAATGTGGACATACTCAAGTATCAGGTGCGCACCAAACCAGGCGCCAGCTCGTGTCCCTTCCAGTTAGTCAGCTACTGGAAGTGCGAGCCCAGCTATACGGCGCTCAAAGTTGACTACAAGTATAATAATCATGCCATGGCCAGCGCCTCACCCTTGCTGAATGTCACACTCTCCGTGCCAGTTAATGGGTCCGTGCGTAATGTTCAGTCCAAACCGCATTCATCCTGGTAAGCATCTAGCACTAATGAACTTACGTTCTGTCCTAACTATTCTCCTGTTTAGGCTGGGTGAATCGAATCGCTTGGTTTGGAACTTTACGGACATATCGCAAAATTCACAGGATGGCGGCGTGGGCACGCTTCGTGCACGACTCGAACTCAACGATGGGCCTTCAACTCCAGCCACGATGGCCACACAGTTTAATTGCGAGGGTACCACCCTGTCAGGCATTGAGTTTGAGCTTCAAGGCAGCGGCTATCGCCTGTCCTTGGTTAAAAGGCGTTTCGTTTCAGGTGCGTTAATGTGCTAAAGGCTTGTTAGATAATTGTGTTTAATATTTTTTTTTTTGCATTACAGGCAAATACGTCTGCGAGGGCGATGGCATACGTAGTGGGGCTACGCCCACGCCGCCCTCAGTTGGCTCAACCAGTCCGTATTCGGCTAAATCGAATTAGTGGCAATTGGCTCGTGAAAACCCTAGCGAAATTTGTATCTAAAACTGAAAATTGAAAGATTTTGTAATACGACAAGACGGGCATGAGTTTGTGAAGTGGCTGTTATTCGACTCACCTCTGTTTTGCTACTGTGCATTTGGGTTTATCATTATGATGTATTTTTGTATCACTTGTACTGTTAAATCTGTTAGAACTGGATGGCCCGATTTTGTATAGCCGTAACAACTGGATGTATTATTTGTTATATTTATATACACTATATATATATTATATGCTTAGAAATGTATTTATTATGTTAATTAAACGCGATGTAAACAATACTTTGTACGTAGCTATGTAGATATCTAAAAACAAACAGACACCCTCATACACATACTACAGCGTGGGAAAGCACGTTGATTTTATGTTCACTTTTGTACACACAATAACACACACAACACCAAATGTATTAAAACAAATTCAAGATTCAAAAGCAGTTGGTTTTTATTTTAATAATTGGATTGATGCGCCTACCTAACTGTTGCCAGAAACTGAAGAAACAGAACAGAAATGATGTTTAACATAAAAAAGCAATTTCAAATTAACCGCGCGCGCGCTCTGTTATTTAACATGCCTTTATTAATCGACGATATTCAGCGTTTACAATCGATAAGTCAACAGTTTCAAATAAGAAAAAAAGTACATAATATTTATTAAAATGTGTATATTAAGAGTGTAATATATCTGTTGCTGCATGCATTTTATATATTTATGAGAATCTGGTACAAATCTTTACAAAATCCGCCCATTTTACCCGCCTGTCAGCGCACGCACGAAACTGTCACCAAAGCTTGTTTGGCCGCTGGCGCCTTTTCTGCGTCTGATATTATTTTGTTGCTTAATTAACAAAAATACATTCACACATGAAATAAATCCACACAAACACACACATAAGTATATTAGCCAGAGAACATGACAAACCGGTTTCGCTTTCGGCTCGCCAATAAAAAAAAGGAAATTAGTCGCAGCCAAAAATTGAAAATAAACTCGTGCGTCTAACAAAAAGAAATCCCAAGCGATTTCGTGGGAGCAAAGTGGTTTCGAAGTTATGCATAGAATTTACGCCTGCAATTTGTAGTTGCGGTCTATTTTAAATGTTATACGTATTGGTACATACGTATGTACATACAATAAACAGCTGTCGTTTCTTGTCTTTGGGCCTGTTGCGCCAGTTCTGTTATTGTTGACGCGTGACGTCATCATGGCACAAATTGATTTCAAGGTCGTCGCCGGTCGCATTTTCATTTCACTTGACACGCTTTGCCTTCTGCTTTTGCTGCTTCTGTTGTTTCCGTCCCCCACTTAGCGGGATTTCAAATATATCCATACGCATTAAATATGTCAATTAATGAATAAACCGAAAATAATTACTAGTATGTATTTCTGAAATATATGCAGCGCATTTAAGTGCACATATATGTATGTACATTCTGCAGACCTGCTGGCTGCATATGTACATACATATATGGCAAAAATATCTACATATATATTAGATGTCAAACGATAAGATTAAATTACAAAACAAAAGTGGCAGCCAAAGTTTTGTGTACGTTAGCGACGAGTAGTCGTCCGTATTGTGCATATATAACAATATATATATTAGTTATATGCCAGTCAGTCAGTTTAATTGTTTAACAAAAGCGACAAGCACAACAATTGTTACATATCTTTATTTATATGTGCCCATTGTACTACTTTGGAATTAGAACTCGCTTGCAAAGATAATATATATACATATATATATAAATTACAAACAGATGCTGGCCATTAAAATAACTGCATATAAATGATTTATTGTTCCTATTTCCGCAATAAATTTATTTGCCAATATGTTAGCAGGAAACAAAAGATATTAAACAAAAAATAATCTGAGTTTAAAATAAATTCGCAAATAAGAAATACATTTGATTTTGTTAGGTATACATTCATCTTCAACATCATTGCACTTTATTTATATTGACTCAATTAGTAGATCTTAAGTCCAAACACGTATTTATTAATGATTTCTATGCGCATTTACTTACACATATTACGTAAAGATATAAATTGTATGGCAAACTTGTTTAGCGTTTGCAATAATTAATTTTGTTTTTGTTTTTTTTTTTTGTATTATTATTTATTTATTTGTCGAATATTGTGTATTAAATTAACATTTATTACGTTGCGCGCATGTTTCTAAATTAAGATTATTTGTATCGAACATTTGCAGATACATATTAGATAAATTAGCTTTCGTGTGGCATATTTTAGCCTTTAAACTTACATTATATAAACAGACACAAACATTATGCACACATAGCAAATTATTTGTTTCAGGTATCTTAATTCGTTTAAATCTGAGCACGGTGAAGCAGAAGCGCTCGAACAAAGCACAAAAAAAAACAAACAATTTTGATAAGCTTCTAATTGTTTTAACGGTTCAAAAAAAAAACACACATACAGCAAGGTTTGTAGAAATTGTTGAATATTATTTTAAATATAATAATAAAGCTTAAGCTAACTAAATATCATTAGCTGATAGATTGTTTCGATGAATTTCTGTACAATTTGACATGTTTAGACTTCAGGCTACAAGTACAATTTTATTGATATTTATTCTTAGCCAAAAAAAAAACATACTTTTTTAATTATATAAGCATACTAGATCTGTGATAAAAAAGGCTGAACAAGTACAGTACGTACTCGCTCTACGCAACCCCTAATACACGCAACACTAGAATTTTTAACATTTTAGACTCGCTTAGAAAGTTAACTCTGTAAGAAAATTAACTTGGAATATTCACGCATGATAAGTTTTGAGTTTTTCCAAACATAAATCAAATAAAATGAATGTACACATAGATTTATTCAAATTACTTTAGTATTATTGTGAATAAAAGGCATTTTAAGGTCCAATTGGTCCAATTTTCAGCGGTCGAGTTGAGCGGGGGCGTACTGTATATACTTATTAATTTTTAAAACGAAACTATTTTTTCTACTCACACAAATTGATTTTTTATATATATTTGTATATGCACTGTGATTTGCTCCACTGTGCGCCTAGTCAACTTAAATGTGTGTGTGTGTGTGTGTGTGGGTGTGTGTGTGAGTGACATCATATTGTTAATATATTTGTTGTTACATTTTATTTTCTGTTGCTTCGTGTAATGCTCGTGACATTTGCAATTTATGTGCGCTGTACAACACTGTACAGACTTAACGGTAAGTCGCCTGAAACAAAAAACGGTAAATAAAAACATATATTAAAAATATGGCATTTAGTTGAACACAAAAGGTCATCAAATCTGTTTATTCTATATATGTTGCTTTAATTGCTTAATTGTAGATCAAACGGAACGCTTAATCCGGCTAAGCGAAGCGTCGTTTTAATGTGATGCGGGTCATGGAAGGGCGTTGGGTAGGGGTTGGAATAGAGCGAATTGACGTCTGTTTATTCTTATTTTTATTTTTAGAATATTCAATTATATTTACTGTTACTTTAACGCGCCAGCTTTGCGAAATCGCTGGAAGCAAAATGCAAAAAAAAAAAAGAAACCAACGAAATAAAAATAAAAATTCAAATAAAAAACACGTCTGGAATTAATTTTTTTTTGCCGCCATTCTCTTTTGCGTTTTCTAAAATGCGCAATTGACGCTCGTCTATATGCGTATTTCCACTGAATTTATTTAAACATTTGCGCTCTATACGATTCCTACTAATACTGGGTATATAATATACATATATGTATTTGGTTTAGCTTGAGAAAAATTCCAAATATACTAAACTTGTTGCCTTGAAATGTGCGAGAATTATTCGAAGGATCTTGATAATCTCAGGTGTGAAAAATATTGTACATAATTCTACAATATATCAGATAATCAAAAATATGTTGGAAAACAAAGTATATAATGTGTTTTGAAGCAAGAAAACACATTTAAATTGAAATAAGAATTCTTTTAATACTAAATGGTGTTGGAAAACGAACGATTGGCGCCTTAAAAAAAATACTCGAGTTTAAGTTGGAAAACAAAATAATATCAAAACGGGAAAACAAAAAACTTGCTGTCACGAGTAAAAACATATTTCATTTGAAATTTGTGTATGAAAGTTAGCTTTCAAGTGTTTAACATATGTTCTAGTTATTATTTCTTTTCTTTGTAGACACAAAACTTTCACTTTAAATAAGCTTAAAGTTTCGAGATAAGATATGCTGAAATTAATCGAAAGCTGATATTCCCAATCATTTATATCGATACCTAATACAGTCGAGCTGTCTGAAACTCTATTAGAACAGCGACTGATAGCGAAATGATATGTGAGTAATCAAGCAAAACTGTCCCATAAGCATGCCCGTGCATAGTTGGGACTGTGGGCCTTATCTGGCGACCTCAGGCACATGACCGTGAGGCGGGCAAATTAATCGAACATATAGCGAAACGCCTTAAATAGTAGTTCCACATGGGTGTGTGTGTGTGTGTGTGTGTGTGTGTGTTGGGCCCATTAAGAGCAGCTACCATATAATCGAAACGAACGCCTTTACAGATCGAAAATCAATCCGATTTCTATTCTACATCATATTTTGGGCAACTGACTCATGACACAAACTTCCGTTGCAAAAAAAAAAACAACAAAAAACTAACGTCAGAAATGTGTTTTAGACCGTGTTTATATGGCCTGGTATATATGTATGTAAGTACATATGTGTGGATGTATATGTATATGAGGACCATAAAATAAACAAACAGGCCGTACGAGGCGGGGGGCAATATGTTAAATAAACAAACAAGGGGAAAAGCCAAAGAAACGCCAAAGAAACTGAAACAATTTTAATCGTTTTCCGTTTGACGCTAAAAATGATGGAACTTTTGCACGTACAGTGAACACTTTATATGAAGAACAAAATCATTGGCTCTAGCATATTTTTTAGTTGAGTGTAGTTTGCACTAAGAGTGGATTCCGTTTGAAGATGAAAACAGATTAAAGTACAATCAGAAGAAGAAGAACTAAAAATGAACAAACCTATTTCAATATACCTATAGTATAATATATCTATATATTATAGAAAGTCTGTAACAAGACTTTAATCTGTTTGGACATTTTAAACAAAAATTAGTATACGTATTTATTTATAATCATTTTTTAAGTATTACAAAGACTTTTTCTAAAGCTAAAGTTTAATTTAAGAACGAAAACTTTATACAACACTTAATTTGGAGAGTATTTTTCAACACTGTAAGAATTCAATACTCAAACTATAAAATGCCTTTAATTAAAGTCAAAATAAATGAAATAAGTTCATGGAGTATTATCTCGTAACATAAATGGGGTTCGCTGTATTGAGGGTCTACTGTAATTGAATGGACGCCTCAGGATGCCACACCCAAGACATTAGGCTCGACTTAATGGCCAATACCAAATGGCCAACCACTCACCTTCGGTGCCTTTCGGTGGCGCATTCCATGTCCGGGCGCACCTCAAAGCACGTAGTTGCGCTGCTTCTCGGTGGGCAGCGTGCGATTGGCAAAGGAGACAATGGCCGCCGCGGGCTGGGCGACAGATAGATCGCAGAAGACGTGACACTGGTTATCCTTGGAGCTGTGCGATCTGCGCGCCACAAAGGCGAAGATGGTTTTCTTGTCGGATTCGTTGGGATTGTTGCTCCACATGCGATTCTCCGGGTCGATGGCACAGTGCGAGATCACATCGGCCGTATAGTGCTTCCGGAAGAACTTCTTGCGTGTGTTGTCCGTCAGCGTGATGCCCTGGCCGGAGACCTTGAAGTGCACCTCGGTGGGCGTCGGCAGCGGCTTCTGTGCGTACATCAGCCGTATGGCCTTGCGTATGGCCTCGTTACCGGTTAGGGATTCCGTATCGCAGCTGTAGAGCCACAGCACATTGGTTGCCGCACCATGGGTGAGCAGCTGCTGCTGTGCCGCCGTTGTGGACGCCAGTCCGGGCACCACATCCGCCTCGGGTATGAGCAGCAGGCAGGGCAGCGCCAGCTTGTTAATGGAATGCTCATAGATCAATGCCGAGAGCGAGGTAAACGTGGGCTCATTGTCGCAGCCCTTCAAATGGACGCCACGCTGCGTGGGCTCGATGAGAAAATGACGCACCAGCTCATGGCTGCCCGCCGGCGGCTGGGCCACGCGCAAGACCAAACCGTAGGCATTCGCATAGGTGGTCGAATCACGCACCAGAAATGTGCCCGGCGGTGCATTCATCAGCAGGGCAATGGCATCCTCCCGGGAGAGCATGGGCTTATACCAGAATTTGGCCGAGTTGCGTGCAAATTTCACCAAATCCGCCGCCACCTCAAAGGTGGGCGACGGCGCTGAGTTGAGACGCTGCCGGGCAGAGGCCATCGTCTGGTATATGGACTCGGTGGTGGGCGAGGCGCGCTGCAAGGTGCTGCTGCCGAATGGTGTGCGTGGCGTGACCGGAAAAGCGGGCGTCTCTGGCCGGGGACTAGTGGGACTGGGCGTTAACAGGTAATCCGCCTGCTGCTGTCCATTGCTATTTGGAGCAGCTGCAGCCGTGTTGCGTTTTGTGCTGATGGCATAAATGGGCGACAAATCGCGACGGTTTCGCGTGTGCGTCTCCAGATGCAGCTGGCTCTGGCCATAAATGTGCGCCTGCTGCTCCATCTGTGGCTCCACTAGCTGTTTGTATGTCACTTCCATTGGAGGTCGTTCCAAGCTGTGGTAGTAGTTGTTGTTGTTGTTGTTGCTCTTACTGCTGCTGCTGCTGCTGCTGTTGCTGTTGTTGTGGCTGCTTCGGTTAATTGTGTGATAATTGCGTTCCACAATTGTGGACTCCAAGCGCCGACTGTTGCCACTGATCGCACCATCCGGCACATCCATATCCTGCCGATACTCTATATTCCGTGTATTATATGGTGCTGGGGCTGGCACTGGCGCTGGCGCTGGCAGCGAGCTGCGTTCGTTGATATCATCCAAATTTAAATTGAACTCAAAATCATAATTGTATTTACTGTGACTCAGCCCGTTGCTTTGGCGTCGCAGCGGAGGCGTGGGCGGCACACGTGCCGCAGCACGTTCCAACTCACGTTCCAATTCACGTTCCAATTCACGCTCCTTTTCACGTTCTCGATACTCGTTGTAGACTTTGTCGCGCCGCTCGCGCAGCTGCTGCTCAAAGTCGACGCGCGGCGGTGTCACATTCGCCGCTGACCCATAATGATAGGTATTCGATATGGTATTCGTATTCGTATTCGTATTCGAATTCGTATTCATTTTCGAGCCATTCGTGTTGCCATTTGCATTCACACGGCTGCCGAGTGTTTTGCGCACCAGCAGAGGGCTCGTTAAACGTGGCTGCGGCTTTATCATATCACTCCCACTGCTACTATCGTTATTATTATTAATATTATTATTGTTATAATTATTGTTGCTGTTGCTATTGCTGCCTAAGCCAAAATCAAAGTCGAGAAAACTATCGGCGCGCGTTGGCGTTGGCGTTTTGCGCAGCGGCGTCGCCGTTTTGGCATTGCCGTAGCTAAAGGGCAATGAATTTTCGCGCGCGTGATAGGGTATCCCATTGCCGTTGCCATTAAAGTTTTTATGGTAATTATTGTTATTATTATTCGTGTGGCTATTATAGCTGTAGCTGGTGTGATACTTGTTATCCGTAGACACGGCAGCACTATCTTCGTACGGCGACCGCATAGTTTCGCGAATTCCGAACGACTGATTGAATATGGAGAGACCCCCTGGCCTAACGCAGAGAGCGCCACTCGCACACATGCACAGACACACACACACATGTATGCAGCAGCCAGACAACAGCGGACAACAAAAATGAAAAGTAAGCGTTGGCGTAAGCTTAAGCAGGCACGCTCTCTCTCTCGTGCTCTCTCTTCTTTCTGCTGGCCAACTATTAAATCAACTTGAGTTGTTGTTGCGCCTACGTGCAAGTGCACAGTGCTGCAAGGCTTATTTTAAATGTTTCATTGTAACTTGTTGTGTGCATTGCAAACGCATACATGCATTTAAAATCGCTTTTAGACTTCATAAACTATTTGATTTTTTCTTGTTTATTGTAAACTTTATGTCTTGCAAAAATCAATATTAATATATGTGGATACATATATGTTATATTATTATTTAAAATATATTTAATATTATGAAGTTACAGCTTACAAAAAGAACACATAACAAGTATGTCTGTAACTCTATTTTATTCCTACACATACACATATACTGAAAACATGTCAATCAACACAATGTACGTTAACCCACTGTGCTCGCAAGGCACACATGCACAATCAATATACGTTGACTCTCCAAGAGACACAGAGCGCAGTAAATTTAGCAAAGTGAGAGAAGCAGAAAACGCTACAGTGCGAACTTTGCGACAGCAACGTGCGGTGATGTCATCCCCCCACAAATTTATACACACAAACACTTGCCTACACACACTCTCAGCCTTTTAATCACAACAAGCGATCAACACAGACACTCATTCAATACTTATTCGATCGGCACTCACTCTCATCGCTGCTCTCACATTTAGAATGTAGCTGCTGCTCTCTTTACCTCTCCGTATTTTGCTGTTGTATGTGTGTGTGTGTGTGTGTGAACATTTTGTTGTAAATTGTAAACAAACATTTCGAACGTTTTTAGCATGAAAATACGTCTTGTTGAAGTCCCCTCTATACTTGGCACCCCTCGCTGCCTATCGGCAATTGAAACCATGCACGTTTTTTCGACGTTCTTCCACTTTGCATCAATGGAATGCCGCCTACGATGTTGACTGCGCTGCTTTTGGGCTCCAGCCAGCCATCTGTTCTGAAAGGGTTGCCTTTGTCTGAGTAAAATAAAATGTACACTGAGAGCAAACTTATCAGCGCTACATTTTGATTGATTTTATCAATAAATTGCGGTCTATTTTCATTTCAACAGTAACAGTAACTCAGTCTTATGTTGCTTTCCCAGTGAACTTTTGTGGCCGACACACATACACTCAGGCCCATATACAAATAGACACATACACAAAGAGAGACAAAGCGGTGGCATCTTTTTGATTTCTCACATTTTTCTTGTAGAAAGTGGAGAAAATTGTAAGCGCACCTTTTGTGGGCACAACAACAAGCAGCTTAACCAATAACCAACTAACAACAATCAACAACAACAACAACAACTAGCATTGGCAATTTCAACAACAGCATTTTGTTGCTTGTGACGTCAGCAAATGCAAAATTGCATCGAAAAAATGCAAAGTGGCTGTTAACGTTAACGTCGCTGCTAGCGCAGGCAGCCAGTATAGTAGCTGTGGGTGGTTTGAGGTCATAGTCAGTGTTACATGCCTCCCACATACAAATACACATGCACACACACAACAACAGTTGTTGTTACTTAAGTAAAGTTGCTCTCTTGCTCTCTTCGTACCCACTCGTGAGAGCAACTCGTTTACCTTTTCGCGCAGCTTCGAACATCTGTTGTTATTGTAGTTGCCATTATTGTTGTTTTTGGCAATTTTGACAGACAGCAGAGCCATGTGGAATGTCACTGTGTGTGTGTTGGTTGGGGGGAAATGCCCAGCCAACAAATTCGCATATGTTTAGATATCTTCCAATTGCGCATACAAAGATCGTCTTAATTTTTTCTGAAACACCTAAACTGCATTTGATTGTTGTTAAATTACAGCTGTGAATTGATTGCATTCACAATGTTGCGGTCAATTAGATATAAAGCTGGAGGTCGGCGGCATCAGTTGACACGCAGTTGCAAGTGTGTGTGTGTTCGTGTGTGTGTGTGTATGCTTGCGCATAAATACATATGGGGAATCCTTGAATTTGCGATCACGAATGCGCATGAAAACGAGAAAAATATAAACTTGGTGAATGTATAATGTTACTGTTTTAAATGATATAAAATACATAGACTTCGGGAAAACTAAAAGTATAAAAATACAGCAATTTTTAAGAATACGCTTTTTAATTTAATACATTTTTGTTTGCATAAACTTTATTTTCGCTTATATATTTAATGTTTTATTATTTTTGCCAAGAATCGGCTCGGGTTTTGACGCCACACCTTGTCAAATGGACAAGGTTCAAATAAAAGTTAGGGATATACTAGTTTTTGCTACAACAGCAGTGTAAGGTGTTGCCTAAACTATTTAATTAAAAATGGAAATTCTAGGGTATAACGAGGTGAAGCACACTCGGTATAAGAAAAGACTCACTGAGGACAACATACACAGTCTACATACAGTCCACATAGTGTTATGCTACCTATAGCGTTTAGCTTTTGTCAGGCAGTGCTGGTTGTTGCATTCGCTAAGGCGTGTAACATTTGTGGACTCCAAGTGGACGATGTGTCTCTGCTAAAACATTTTGAACATATTTTCAGTTACGAAAATCTTAAGCTACCGTTTAGGTCATTAATGATCTGACAATGGTACTTTATCCTACAAATATTTAAATGCATTGTTTACGTGAGGCGTCCTTTTTATGAGACTCTTAGTCTTATCTCCTTGGGCACCGCCCACAACCTTCCTCCCACCCTTGGGCTCACTCACATGAGAAATGTTGGGCATATTCAAGTGATTAATGCGCCCAATGTAGCCTAGAATCTTTAGATGGAGAGGGGGCAGCGGGTGTTGGCATTTGGGTGGCTAACTCCTAACGTTGGGCGTAATTAAACTTGATTAATTGTTGAGTCTGCATAAAGGTAAAAATCGGCGTACGCATGATAACAAAACGGAAATGGAAATTAATTAATATGAAAACTCACACAACGAAAAATGCTTTTCCCTTCAACGAAGTTTAAATTCCCTATAAAAAAGGTTTCTAGGATAAATTGTGGAACTTATTCGCTTTTAGAGTATTTATTCAAACTTATTTCAACAATACATTTTCAGCAATTTTTTTTTTTTTGCAGCTGTTCCAATTAATAAGCCTGGTGCCGGGCAGTCCTTCAAATTGTTCGCATTTTTGTCCTTAACAATTCCATAATCAGCAAACAAATAAATAAAACAGCTGAAAAACTCTTTTTTTTTCGCTACTTTTTTGCAGCTTGTGCGCGTTTTTGCCGTTTGCCTGCGAAAGGGCGTTTCATTTTGTCTTGGCACGCAATTTTGTATATATGTAAATATATGTATGTAGCCAATCGTATAAATCGAAAGTGCAGGCAAAGGACTTTTGTGCTGTAAATCAATTGATACTTTCTGAAGTTGAAAGATGCCAAGCTGATAATTATTATGATTATTTTCCTTCGAGAGATTTTCGATAATCATTCATCAGTTCGATATAAATAAAAGAGCAGCGTTTTACCCAACACTGGAAACAACATTAACTACGATATTTGTCGTTACTAGAGAAAACACGACATTTGCTCGTCTCGCATTTACGAAAATTGTCTAACACTCAACAGATAATTGTATGCCTAACGTTATTAACACTCAAATGCACCGTTACTGATAGAGCTTTATAGCTATCGATAGTTAATCGTTAGGTTTTTAAAACGAAAAAAATGCTTAGAAAAATATAATTTTGTAATAAAAATAGGGAATATGTGTACAATATTGTGCATGCCCATTAAAATAATAAATAAATATAAATAATATTATTATATTATAATTAAAATAAGAAATAAAAAATATTACAAGTTATGTGTATTTAAAAAAAAATAAAATTGCATATATATGTATATATATTACACACTTATATTTATAAATGCTGGTTTCTTGAGCGTAGGTTCGGCTGAGCACTGAAACACAAGCGTTTCAGGTATTTCGACAAAAAATATGTCCACAATTATTAATAGAAAAAATACATTTACAGAAAAATCACGAGATATTTAGAATATTTAGAAAGTAACGATAACTACGGCAAACCCGCAGAGTTATCGATAACTTAGGAGCTCAAGCTACTAAATAGCTTGCAAGACATTCGCTGGCATTTAACTAGGAAGCCAGTGCTGTATAACGCGGTTGTTAATCGTAGTTTTTGAAAGCTGTCAAGTGTAATGAGAATGCATAAAAGTTTATTTCAATTCCTGCAGCGCTCAGTGCTGCTTCTACTGAGATACCTCTGGAGCCTTGTGTAAGTGGAAAATCGTTTGTTGTTTGTTTTGGTTTTTGATTTTGTAAGCAGCTTGCGCTTAGTGAAAACCATGAGCAACATTAAGGATGAGGTGTTTGCCGATTACATGGCCACGGCTAGCAGTTCACCAGCTGAGGATCAGACGGGCGAAACCACGAATCTTTTGGTCAACTATTTGCCATTCGATATGCTGGAAGGGGAGCTGTACGCCCTGTTCGTCAGTTTCGGGCATATTAAACACGTTAAAATCATCCGGGATGCCGAAACGGGTGCCAGCCATTGCTATGGCTTTGTCAACTTTAGCGCGGCCGGCAATGCCAACTTGGCTCAGGTGTGTCTGAACGGGCGCCAGGTGCGCGGCAAGCGGCTGAAGGTGTCACCGGCCCGTCCATCCTCGATGGACATTAGGAATGCCAAAGTCTATGTGGCCAATCTGCCCATAGACTACAACGAGCAGAAGGTGAGGGCCACATTTGGACGTTATGGCAATATCCTGGATTTGAATGTGCTCAAGGACAGATTCACGGGTCTGTCTCGTGGCATTGCCTTTGTGCGTTTCGATCTGAAGTCATCCGCTGATATGGCCATATCGGTTATGAATGGCTATACGCTGGAGGGTGGCAGTTTTCCGCTGCAGGTCAGGCTGGCCAAGCGGCCCAAGGCTTGGGAGGCACCGAAGCCACACAGATTCGTGGACCGCGACCAAGAGCTCACACCCAACCAGGTCGCGCGCCCTGCGAAAACTCTCACGAAACGTAACATGCCGAAAAAGACTTCAGCTGACATATCTATGGACTCGGGTAAGGAGCAGTCAACACAGCTCAAGCGGCCAATGGCCTTTAGGTTTGGACAGAATGCGTCTTCTGAGGCTTCCGTATCAAGGCCAGCTCCTGGCGGCTACAATCTCCTGATGAATGTCAACTTTGGCAAGGGCCGCAGCGTCTTGGCAGTGCCAAGGGCTGCCACACCAATGGATCCTGCATCAAAGCAACCCCCATGCCCTGCTCCCAGCAATGGCAAATCCTTAGATCCGATCCTTAAGCCGCACTCCCAACCAGTTATCGAGTCGTCGCTGGATCCGCCAGATACCAAAATGGACAACTTACTTGATGACATGAAGAGCATGAAGAATATCCCGCCATCGTCCCACAGAATCCACTACGAATTTCCACTCGGTCTCAGGCGCAACGATGCGCCCGCATCTAAGCCACGTGGCTTCTCCTTTAACTGCCTTTAAGCTTAAGCGAGGATTTCTTACCTTAAAGACAACAGCTTTACATGAACTTATTTAACTGATTCAACACAATGAGAAACTATTTACAGACTTCAATCAATTTATGAAATACCTAAACTTATTACAACAAACACTTGATTATTTTCTACAATATATTTGCACATTTATACAACAAAAGAGTCAATTAAATAAAAGAATTTAAAGCACTTTTCTTAACACACTTCTGGGTACAGAGAATGAAAATATCAACTGTATCCGTAGCATAATGAGAAAGAGTATTGAGCTTTGGAAGGTTCACGATAGAATATCCCTACAAATATATAGCAGATGTTCGATATACAATATGAATAATATGATAGAATTAATATAAAAACGATTTTTAATGAATATATATAAAAATAATATATAACTATTTAAATTTATATGATTTATGTCTAAATGAATAGAACAATTTTGTCGTAACGAAAACAATTTGATAATATAATATAGTTCGAGTTGGGCTATTTATAAGCATAAACTTCTAGTGACAGATAAGAAAACGAGAAAGTATGAAATTCTTCGACAAGCCGAAGACGCTTTAAAGTTTTACAGATATTTGAGAAAGAGCGAAACTCGTAGGTACCGAGTTTGATGAAGAGAGCCTGGAAAACTGAATATTTTGCCATGCAAGCACCTACTTTCCGACCGATTCTTACTATATAAAATAAAAGTATATATAGTAGAAGAGATGGAGTAGCTTAACCTGTTTTGAAATAGTTGCAAAAACTGGGTTCAACAAAATGCTTTCACAGCTGTTTTGTAAAATATGTCTGAACAAGATATTAGATCTTGTGTCTATATATTCCCCAACATGCCAGCCAAATGGCCTGACTCAGTTTCAGGTGCATTTTTGCAGTTGCATTTAAGTTATTTATTTATTTCATATCTTAAGTCTACACTCTTATGTGAAACTCCTTTTTCAAATAAGTCACGCCCATTTGGCAGCCAAAAACAAACCTGAAAAAAATTAACAGCTTTATCATGCACATAAGAAATACTCCTGAATTAAAATAAAGAGCCCAGCGCCCTGAGGCAGCGTCTGTTTCGGATGCACATGAATGCGCAAATATATATATACACGATATAATATATACGCGATATAAATAATGAAAACAAAGGGCGCATAAATATCTGAAGATCGCTGCAAAACAAAAAAACCAGCAAAAAGGAAAGAAACGCATGCACGAATGTAGGTGGGAAACAAGTGAATTGAAAATTATTCCCAATTCGTTTGCTTTTCTCATTATAATTGAGGCGCGGGTCTCGCTGAGTTCAATTCTTACTTTTCGGCTCGCAACATATTCCCCAACCAGGGCATCTTGCCAATGGGCAGGCAGATTTAACTTACAGATTTGTTGGAGGCTCTTCCCGCCTCTTGCGAGGGCTCCGATTCGCCTGGCAATCTTATGATGTTAACTGGGGTTACATTCATTTCATGGCAAGCTTTGTAACATTCAATAGGTTATTATCTATTATCTTGTATATACTAATGAAATGTATCACATACGAGATATGTATGTCTATATGTATATAATAAATTCAAGATCCTCTATATTATAAAACATGAATTAAAGTATGAATAGTTTAAGTTTATATTCTTTTTTATATATATATATATACTATTTATTATATTGAGATATATTAGATTTATTATTATTATTATTATTACACACATACATACGTATACACATGCATATATACAAGCACACACACAAAAGCATAGTTTATTAGATTACTAAAAACAACTTGTTAGTCTACGTAAGCTGTAAGTTTCACTATGAGAATTGCATAGTAGGGCGATGTTCAAAAGTACTTTTTTTTTTACTTTGCTGCAGAGGGGTATAAGAGATTAGTATAAGAGAGCAAACATACATCTCGGCACACACACATACATATATATATATATGCATTTATATATATATATATATATTAATGATTTTAATAAATAAAACATTGTGTCTGAACGTTAAGTTGCTTTAAATGATAATTGCACCGAGATCAATACAAAATTGTCTCTGTAAGAGTATACAAATTTCGGACTTTTGTTAAACGACATTTTTAAATGAACTTGTGTGTTGCTTATTCATATATGTGACATATCTTTTCTGATATCTGTTACATAATTATTTGCATTGCATTGGGGCAGGTGATTCCAATTACCTTTAGTTTGGCATCATTTCTTCCGGCATTGTTGGGTAACTTTCGGTCGAAAATCACAAAAAGGGATTTTGTTTTGTTACAAAACATTTTAGTTTTTTTTTTTTTTTTTTTTTTGCAATTTTGCGGCTTATATATTTTTGCTGCAGCAAAAAAAAAGGGGCAGACATAAAAGAGACAAAAACAAATCAGAAGGGAAGGAAATATTTAATTTCATTTTCATTTTGCGCAAGAAAATGCAAATCAAATTTTCACTTCTTTGTTGACGTGCTTTCATTTTCTTGAAAGAGTTGCTTGTGATAGTTGGTGGGAGGTTCTGGAGGGCTACGGGTACTGGGCATTCTATAGGGCGGTCTGTGCAGCCCAGTGATAAGCAGATTATGCGCTGTTACCATCATTTGCAAACCTTTTTCCCTACATTTATTTCCCATTTTCAAGTTTTGTGGATATTTCTTTTCAAGTTATTTCTTTCCATTGTCGTATTGACATTCGAGGCATATTGTCTTCAATAACATCATTATCAGCTTAATGGAGAGTCGTAATCAATTTAAAATATTCAAAGTATGGGACAGTCATGATTCGAGCTGTTGGGCTGTCTTGGGCCTCTCTTTGCGCTTCTCAAAGTGCACTCGCTTGAACATTTTAATCTTCTATACAAGCACATTAATTTTATGTGTTCGCTCATTTGTCTTGCTTTGTACGTAAAACATTGAGAAAGCACAGCCCAATCGCTGATGGGGCATGTCAACCGGAGGACACAATCCTCCTGCTGCTGTTCCACACAGGCTGCACGTCAGGATAATTAAGAAATTTTTCAGTGCCCATTTGCAGAGACCAACTGGTATTGTGGTCGGGTTTTCGGGGGGTGTATGAAGTGGCCAGCTACGTTTCTTTGGTGGTGAGAATTTCGTAATCGAAATAAATGAAAATTGATTGAATTCCATTAGTAGGCCAAGGCAGACGTAGCACTTGCCGCCTGCAACTCCAATTAGGCGAAAACTAATGAGCCATGAGCATTACGACAGACATTGGGTACATTTTGTGCGTGGGTAAAACTTGTGGTCAACTATCCATTTGCCTGGTAGAATTATGGACCTACTTTAGAGAACCGTCAGACATCATGCGCTTCATTAGATTTGTTTAGTGTGCGGTGGCGAAATTAAAGTGGATAAATATCAGCTAGCAAATAGTCCTGAAATGATGTGACAATAAGCAGTAGAAGTTGCTGAGTCCCAATCGAATTCCAATCAGTTTCGGATGCGATGTGTGATCTGTTTGAGAGCTGTACGCTTAATTTCTCTTAAAATAGTACAGATATATGTTTAAGAACTATTTTAAGTATAACAAATTATTTGAAGATTGTGATTGTCTTAAAGCGAACTCCTTAGAAATTTAAGAAATCCTTGCTATTGGCTCTCTACATAATTTTATGGTCGGCGACATAGATTCTTCCTTTCATTGGGATGTCTTTAATGCTCTGCTTGCTCCAGACCTACCAGAAATTATCGCAAATTATCGTTAATTAAGATTAAATGGGGCCAAGCTGGCCGGACGGGCAAATGAAATACCCCCCCCCCCCCCCCCCATCATATCGGTCGTGTTATTAGACATTTTTGTATTTTGCTTTTAGCTTAAAATTTTCCCATTTACTTTCCATTATTAATTAAAAACGAGAAAGTAGGGCTATCTTTAGAATGCCAAACCTTTTCATAACGCTTTGCTCTTATCTTAAACTCAACCGAGGTCTCTCCTGCCCAGGTGACAACGCTGGCACCTCAAATCTTCAGACAACTGCATAGATTAGCCTATCGAAGCAAAACTCCATTTCAGAAGCGTTCTGGGGCAGGGGCCTTGGCGGGTTTTGCAGGAGAAACGCGCTCAAGTTGGAGTCGCAGCGGGTTGTGACAAGATTGTCAGTAAAATCAGTGCAACGCATGCGTGCAACATTCATCATCGTCAGTGGCAACACACGCCAACAGATTGTTGCAACATATTTTATGTGACTACTTCACCCTCCCTCGTATACCCCTCTAACGCTTACGCTTGAAGATTTTTTCAATTTTTAGCGAAAATTACATCATCATTTATGTTGAATGAGAGTTTCTATATATATGTTTTTCCTGGCTTCTGAATTATTAAAAAATTTCTTTGTCAACAAATCACTTGGTTCGGGTAACGTTAGGTTAGCTTGACTAAATAAGGTGTGCCTCCCGCCCCTCTCCTTCGGAGCACACCGCCCGACCGAAATACACACGCACACATACAATTTACATTAGCTCCCCAGTATATTTACAGTATGTGTGCGTTTGGGAAATTTAAAAACGTCGCAAACAAATTTGTTAACGTTGAGGGTTGTTACACTTTAGAGGGTTGCCAAACCCCCCACCCCCAACCACGCCGCCCCCTGATGAGCCCACATCGGGCCTGATGATGTATGACTGCCAAGGTACAAAATCGTTTTCAAACATAATTTTGTTTGTCTGACACCTATGCGAAGTCGCATAAATCTTCAGCTTAAAGCTGTGAGCGGCTTTAAGCCATAGCTAAAAAAAATGTTTAATACCCTGTAAATTGGCTAAAACGGGCATAATTAAGTTGAATTTTTGAATAGCAGATACCTTCGCTCATATTTTGTTTTTTTTTCAAGCAAGTATCGATGTTGAAGCCCTTGTTTTTTCGAGCATATCTAAGTTAAAAAGGTAGGCTAACATATGTGCTGAATAATTTATAGTTTTGGTAATCGATTTTAAAAGAATTACTTTTTCGGACATATTTCTAAGATTGATATTAAATTTGTTAAAAATCGACAAGTATTGATTTGATATCGCTTCGTTTTTCAGCAGATCTCAAAGAATTGAAAAACTAAGAACAACAGAGTTGGTTCATATTCAAAAACCGATAAATATCGATTAGCTTCAGCATCTTTACTTATTCAGAATCCACTTTAGTTGCACATCTACAAATGATTCGATAATAAACACAAAAGTTATAAATCACATTAGTTTCCATA